GATTTTCGGTCGAGCTCCTCCTCCAATTTGTGGTTTTGCGTCTTGATGTTCATCTAACAATTGGAGGGACCTACAGCTTATATTAAGCCACCTTCAAACGGCTGATGGTTTCTTATGAGGAGCTATACTTCATGTCCGAAATACACTCGGAGGGGTGGACATTCCCTGCCGAGGGGCGACCGCAATTAGAAAATTTAACTTAATTTTTTATTTAAATTAATTTTCCAGAACTTTTGAATGTTGATGGCACCGGGATTTGAACCCGAGCCTTTGGAATGTCAGTATGCAATGCTAACCACTGAGTAAATTTTTATTAGATGTTTAGTAGTAAGCTTATTTAGTTGTAGCTCAAATCTTTCTTCAGGAATTGTATATTAAATTGACATTAAGGTAAAATGGGCAACAAAGAATCATAGTTTGCTCCCAAAACTTACAAACCCAATCGACCGTAAATACAAAGACTGCTATGTTAACAGTTTTTAACGAAACGTAATTGTCTTTCTGTGTTTGCTAACTGCCAAACGTCTCGTTAGACCACACTTTTAAGAACCTCTCCGTAATGCATTTAAGCATCTAAATTTTGAGAACTCCAAGAAGTCTTAAGCCCAAATATGGGAGTAGTATTCAGATTGACAAATATCATCTTAAACAATACAATGGGTACTTCACTTCGAAACATCAACATCACATCACCGCAGGCAGTAATTTTACTTAATAGTTTCTTATGTAAGTTTTGAATAAACATATCTCAGAAAAGAAATGAAAACCGATTTCCAGTTCATAATGCCAACTCTTCAGATTTCAGATTTCATTATTATTCGCATGATGAGCGATTGGTGCAGCCTAATGCTTTGTTTGTTCATACACAGAAGGACTTTACTCTCTTATTGCTTTCTTTGCTTGAAGCAGAACATATTGAAATGAGTTATTCAGCGCTAGATTTTGATAGCTAATTTTATTATTGCTGTTAAGGTTGAAATGGTTGAGGCGTCAGACTATTAACAGATCGTGGAGGTTTTGAATGAGTAGGCCGACTGCTTGTTTGATGGGAGATATTTCGTCCTGCCATTGACCTTTATCAATCCAGTCTAAAGAAAGCAGAATTAATGGTGTTCACAATTCCAACTGACCATCAGTAAAAATTGTTCAGTATAGCCAAATAGCGGGGATACTACCTTTCTTACTGCCAGGAATAATTCAGAAGTTTTATCAAATGCAAAACACCATCAGCTCTAATCACCATAAATCCTTTTCACCAAACATTTTAGTGGTGCTAAAATAGAGCAAGCTAAAGAAGTATTCCCAGCTGTGTACAGCCATCAACGATTTATCTCTTTATTTATTTTAGGACATACCCATAGACGTGATTCTATGCCGAACTTATCATATATATAGTTCTTAAATGTATCACGGTTGGTTATAAAACAAGCTAATTCCAAGTTTTAATATTTAAATCAATTCAAAATGAAATCGTAATCATTTGAATATTAAGACTCGGACTAATGCTTGATTATAAGAAGGCTAAGTGTTTTTTATTACTTCCATAAAAGCCTAAACGTAGAAATAAATAAAGAGTCACATTTTGTTATCGTTTTACAATTTTAATAAAAATCTTTCAATATATCCAGCCCATTCTCTCAAAATAAATGTCTGATCACGGCGAAGTTTTCATCCAAACAATCAAATCAAGTAGCTAGTATTATTCTGGTTTAAGATGAACCAGTCCGGCTACGGTTTGAGGTATAATGTCACATGTAGCTGCTATAAAGGGAAAATAACCGCAGTAAGTTATACACACATACACACATGTTCATGAACCCTTGGGGTAGAGAAAATGCGAGTTACGTATGAAACGCATTCGCTTGAAAAATTATACAGATTTCTTTGGTGACAGCTTTGATTGTCAGACAACAGTGAAGACAAACATAGTAACAACAATTACCAGAAAAACTGTAAAAGCAACGGTTTCTGGGCCCAATGTAGCACATGCATAATAATCATATTTTTGAGAATATTGGTGGAAATAAAAAAGTTTATCGTTTAACGAAGTTTTTTTTTTGCCTCCGTTCCGTGTGCATATTTTCATAAATTACATCATGAATATATGTTGTAGTGTGAATGGCTTTGAAGTATCATTGCTGATGCAAAAGCTGAACTGATCTAGAAAAGAAAGTGTGGACAGTGCAATGCAAATAAATCACGAGTAATATATGTCATTCACGCTTCTAATCACAGACTGGACGTTTCAAGCAGCTGGGGAAATATGTGTGTCCTTAGACTTTTTTTTTGCTGTAAGTTCACCTACAATTATGTAAAATAGTACATTCACATCAACCTGTTAAATCTTATAAACAAAACCACTGAACGAGGAGATGCAAATATCAAATTTCCTTTTCATTTCCTTTCATTTTCATGTAACTAATGGCACATTTTTCCTACCTTTTACATTTGCATTAACGCTCTGTAATAATTCAATGCATATGTTACTTCCGTTTTCTTTGTGGTCATTGAAAGGTTTGATATATTGCATTTAAATTAAAATTTCCTACTTACGTGCACTTAGTAGCAAGCAGTTATAACTTATGAATGCACTTCTTGCTGAAATTTTCGGGAAGGTTAATAAGATTAACAAGCTTCCCACACAACCGATATTATAATATCTCTTAAAGTAAAAAATTAATTAATATAAAATAATATAAAAATAATTAAATAAAATAAAATAGAACGAAATAACATAAAATAAAATATAATAAACTAATTCAAAACAAAACGAAATAAAACAAAATGAAATAAAATAAAATTAATATAAACAAAATAAAATAATAAAAAATATAAAAAAAATTAAAAAAAATTATATAAAATAAAATAAAAAATAAAAATAAATCAAATAAAATAAAACAAATTATTATAAAACAAAACGATATAAAACAAAATGAAATAAATTAAAATAAAATATAATAAAATAAATAAAATAAAATAAAGTAAAATTAAATATAAAATATAAAACAAACAAATTATATAACATAAATTTGAAGAAATAAATAAAAGAAGTAAAATGAAATAAAATAAAATCAAATTAAATGAAATGAAATACAATAAAATAAAACAAAACAAAACGAAATAAATACTATAAATAAAAGAAAAAAAATTAGTTATGATAAAATAAATAAAATAAAATAAAATGAAATAATATAAAATCAAATACAATAAAATAAAACAAAGTTAGTTAAAGCAAAACAAAACGAAAAAAAAATATAATAAAATTAGATTTAATGACATAAAATAAAATATAAAAATTAAATAAAATGAAATAAAATAAAGAAAAATTAAATGAAATAATATAAAATAAAAAAAAAGTAATGAATAAAAATAAAATAAAATAATATTAAATATAAAAAATAAAATAAAATACAATAAATAAATAATTCAAATAAAATAAGTAAAATAATATAAAATCACATAAAATCAGTTAACAAAAAACGAAATAAAATAAAATAAAATAAAACAAAGTTAAATAAACATGAACTAGCATGAACAATATTTTAATTTTCTATTATACAAGGAAGAATAATGGATAATATGTAAAAATATACATTTTTCAATGTTACTGTGCTCAAATGTTTTGTTTCAATATTTTTACTTTACTTAATTAATACTTTTTTCATTTATTTATTAATTTCTCTCATTTTATTTTATTTATTTCATTTCATTTTATTTTGTTTTATATTACTTAATTTAATTTTATTTTATTTAAATTATTACATTTTATTTAATCTCATTTCTTATTTTATTTCATTTTATTTTTGTTTGTTCTGTTTTATATTGCTTTATTTTGTTTAATTTTATTTAATATATTTTATTTTATTTTACTTGATCTTTTATATTCGATAAAAATAATCATTCTGTAATCAGGTTGTGCTGTTAAATATGAGAATGAAGACTAACTTTTTGTTTGCTACTTTACACCTGGAAGCGACGAAAAGCCAATGCAATTACAGAAAAGGACAAAAAGTTACTGAAACGTGACATTGAGAGAGTAAAAAAAGTAGACATAGCTAAAACGACCTAAAATAGCTTCCTTGGGTGCCAGGGTCTAAAGTTGTGATGAATAATATCGGTGTAAGGATCTTACGACCGAATCACTGCTCAATAAATTGAAAGCTGTTACCAGTCTTGGTGGGCTATAATCAAACCAATGTGGGTTTAGGTGAGACGCGCATTAGAAGGACATGAATGAAGCCTTTGAATTAGAATTCTACATCTAAGGTTATCTTAGCTTAATTAATATGAGCTTTCCCAAGAAGAGAGTCTTACTTTACCAGACTGCAGACCGGCAGCGAAAACACACGATTACGGCAGGGGCAGCGCTCTAATCTCGACCCAGATCTTTTGAGCGTAAGCAACGATGGCATATTAGACCTTGAGATGCTTGATAGCCCATTTATTGTATGCTACGCAGAACTCCCAGCTACTGCTATTAACGATGATAGAATCTCAGATACACTGAGGACAGGAAGAGTTATTATATAGGTCTAAGATTAGACCCTACACTACGCTACTGGGCCCAACTCCGGCATGCTGCAGTAAATCCTCCAAAGTCACTCCACAACTCAGTAGACTGTTGACTGACGCTAGAGGGCCGCCTCAAGAATAATAAAAAAACAATAGAAAAAAACTCGTTTTCAAATTTAAGTACATACCAAAAACTATATTGCATAATCGCATGACCTAGTATGCTATGCAGAGATATATTTTTTGTGCTTTTTGCCACTTTCGCTATTACAATATATGTTTTGCACATATTCCATATTCACTAATGTATGTACTCATTAAAACCGTTGCAAATGCGTGGTTCATGTTTTACAAATAAATATTTTACTTTGATCTGCTACTGTGCAAACCACCACCGTACCTTTCAGTACATACTCAGGTCAATTTTATATGTAATTATGTGCATATGTACATATAAAGATAAAGACCTGCATAAGGAGCAAATAAATTTACATGGCATACTCACTTTTCACCTCGAAGCTCGCATCGCTGAAACCATCATCTGATGTCTGCTCTGCTGACAGTGCTACACCCCAGTAGTTTGTGGGCAATTTTCCATTCTAGAAATTAAAACAAATAAGAAAGTGGTTAATGAAAGAAAGTAATAAAATATTTACAATTTATACAAGAGCATAATGAATACGTTTCCATAGGCACATTACCACATACAAATAGTTACCTCTTCACTTGTTCACGTCGGAAAATTCTTTAAGCAAAAAAGGTGGTTAGGAGAAAATTTATGTATACCAGAATGTAGGCAATTTTTCAAAATACTATTTTTTATGTAACTTTCAGATGGTAGTATGGGGAAAAATAAAACAGATATTGAAATTGTGGGCTGTAAGACTTGAGCGTATGAAGGAGATACTGAAAACCAGTAAAATTTTTAGTAAAAAACTTTAGCGACGAGGCACATTTCTCATTCAGAGGCTACGTAAGTAAGCAAAGTTGTTGTATTTCGCGACCTACAGCTTATACTAAGCCGCCGCCTAACGGATGATGGTGTTTATGTGGAGCTTTTATTTTATGTCAGAGTTATCTTGAAGAGACATATTCACCGTTAATAATATTCAGACAGCAGCAAAAGTATTAAACTTGATCACGAGGGATGGCAAGCAAAATAGACAATCACTTCTTTGATACTATATAGACCTAAAAGGGAACTGTAATTATTACTAAATTGGTAGGCAAAATATATCCACGCGCAGACTTACTTTCACCCAAAAGATGCATTAAGTTGGGAACTAAATTTGATATGTTCCCAGTCGAGGCAAGTCGAAATGGGACTTGAGAAGGTCGGATGCCTGAAAAATGAGAGCATCTCAAAGGTAAATGGAATCCTGACGAGAAACTATCTTATAGGACATCGTAAGTAAGAGCTTGGGATCCTTGGATCGGAAGGTGTTTTTTTGATATTCGCGGTTTGGTTCATCATGAATTCGTTCCAACGGGACAGACGGTCAATAAAGAGCATTATTTAAGTTTTTTGAGGTATTTGTGCCAAAATCATACGCCGTAAATGACCGGAATTATAGGCCAACAGGACCATTTCAACTCGATTGAAGTCGGAAAAAAATTCGCAGGGGGAACTGATGTTGACTGGCTTCAACAGCTGCTGCAGACAAACTGGTTGACAGATTGCGCGCATTTTTGGCATAGTAATTAAGCAGCACAGTGCTACCAACTTAACAAAGAAGGTACTGAAGGTGGAAAGTTTAAATGACAAATTCCGGAAACTTTCAGGTCTCATTCGCTTTTATGAATAGCGTTTTCCTAAGTGAGTCAGAATAATTGGAGAAGGAGTCTTAGGATGCTCCGTTGTATCCCTAGAAGTTTTTTTGGCCTAAGTGTAGTGATGCTCGCATAGCGTCAGCCGCACCTGCTAAGACAGTTGAACCTGTACAATATTCATTTCTATTGATTCTTCTAATGAAGGGTGATTTATTAGCTATTATGTTTTTGGCAACACTGGCTTAAACGCTTGCAAATTATTCAATTTGATTTGCAAAATGCGTGCTATGTTAAGAAAGTTCATCGCCCGCGCTTCGAATCTCATATTTGGCTTAATGGGTGCGTAAATAAGCAGAATTTTGGAGCGAAGATCAGACAGAAGCATTACAAGAGCTACCAATGCATCCAGAAAATGATACAGTTTGGTGCCGTGTCACAAATGCTGGAGCTTTACTTGCTGCCACACCCCATGCGTAACAATGAACTTATTAAGAGGCGAGATCGCTGAACATTTTATTTCACGTTAGGTACCGGTCAAATGGCCGCCTAGATCGTGCGATTTAACGCCTTTAGACTATTTTTTTGTGAGGCTATGTTAAGTCTAATGTCTATACAGATAAGTGCGCTTCAATTGGCGCATTGGAAGACGGCATTGAAGCATTTATTCGTGAGATACCGTTTGAAATGTTGGAAAGAGTATGCCAAAACTGGACTAAGCGGATGGACCATTTGAAGTGCAGTCACGGTCAACATTTGAATAAAATACTCTTACTATACTATCAGTTCATATAAATATGTGAATTTAATGTTTTTTTGTTTGTTTTAAACTTACTATAGCTCTCAAAAAATCACCCTTTATAATCTGAGTTTGAGTTGCGAAACTCACGATAGGGATTACAGCCATGAAGAGATAAAAGTAATGGTGACAAGTGGGAATTGATTCCCTTCATATTATCCACTTAAAGATATTTGAAGAGAAACTAATTAGAAGCAAAATAATTATTATTGGACCTAACTTAAATAACCTCTATTTTAAGAAAATATAATATAAAAACATATCTTTCCCAGTAAACGCTCTGATTCAATGCGTAAAGAAGTTGGTGATAAAACAAACAAAAAAGAAACAAATAAAACACACGATTGTGAAAGAAAATTAGTTCAGCAATGAAATTGAGACAGAAAAGCAGAGAGGCGAAAACAAATAACTAAGGAATGCAACAGACAATATTCAAATTGCTCAATAAACAATTTTCATTTGAGACGAAAGAATGCGAGAAATGAGCTAACCGAATTACCAACAAAAGTTAAACAATGTGAAAAAGAAAATGAGGGGAGTGCAATTTCAAAGACAATAAAAATTGCATATATAATACAACTATATGCATACATATTTACAGTATATAAATATATACTACCTAAGTACATATGTACACAACTAGGGGCAAAAAGCTCAATTAGAGCTTCGTAGGAAGTCAGGAAATATGTTTTAGGTCAAATATCTGCATTTGGCCAACCGCTAACGCCCTTCAAACGCCTGCTCATTTCTCTGCAAGGATACGCATATAGCAGCAGCTTGGGTGTGTTTATATATATATATATATGTATATATATTAATATATGTATGTATATATTATGTATAAATCTTTCTGCGCACAATTGTTTATCATACCAACACATACACATTCATTTATCACAACCAAAACAACAGCGCGACCAAAGGAAGCGCACAGACATTCCCAACAGCAAATGAATTTGGTTAATGTGCACATTATGCAAGTTTATTAAAGGGCGTGTCCTACTCCAGCACATTTTGCGTGAAATTTTTACATGTTAAAAAAAAAAAACAAAAAAAAAACAAAGTGAAAGAACACATCCTCAAAAAATTTAATAGAGAATTTTGCTAAATGACATATAGCAGCACACAAAACATTAAGCAAAAGACAAAAGCGACAGCAACAAATGAATGCACACCTACGCCACAAAGTATATACATAAACAAACATTAGTATATCTAATAAGGACATTGGCAGTATATTCGTGGCCATCATTGCCAATGTGACAGCAGCACAATTAAAGACTTGCTACAAACAGTTTTACCTTGGGACAAAGTCAGTAATTTCGCCGAGCAGAAGAGGACAATTGCGGTCAACCACAAAAATCCAACAAATTAGAATTTCGTTAAAATATATGTATAAAGTTGGTTGGTAGGCAAGTGAAGCGTGTAAGAAAGGACACACGTGAAGACAACAGAGCAAAACGTAATGGTGAGTAAAATCACTTCTGGCAAATAAAGGGTAAGCTATTACGGCTGTTTTCGCTGCCTTGACTGTAATAAATACCTGGCGTTGAAGTTGAAAGAGCAAATGTTGTTTCCATGTTTGCCTAAATTACAAAATCTTGCATTGTATGTTCATACGTATGGATGTTTGTTGCTTAGTACATGTATTAAATTGAAACTGCTGGTGTAACATAACGCTAAAAGGAGCTTGAAGTGAGTAAGCAATAATTACCTTTTATCTAATAAAGCATAATTCAAAAAAATTGAAATGAAAATTGAAAAAAAAAAATTTAATGAAATTACCTCTCATAACGCCAGCTTATGTCGGCGCAGTTATAGAGCAACTGGCTGTTAAGTAACTAAAAACTTATAACAAGAATAGAATTTTGTTTTACAATCTAAATTCCAATATGTATATAAGTTTCCATTCAATAAATCCCTTTTAATACCTTAATGTATTACCAACAATTGGAGGGACCTAGAGCTTGTACTGAATTGATCCGACAGGCTGATGGACTTTTTAGGAATACCTCTTTTATTTCTTATCTGAAATACAATCGGAGGGCCTCGCCGAGGGGGGTCCGTAACTAACAAATAATTTTCTGTAATTTTTTGGATGTTGGTTGAACCAGAGCTCGAACCTCTAATTTGGAAAATTTAATACAACACTTGGTTTTTCCTACACGCTAATAATATCAATTTCCCACTTATGGTTAGGCGAGAATGGTTAATTTGAATGCCGACATTTTTGCACATTTTTGTTGTTCACTTTTTGGTATTTACTAGATATTAACACAACTCACATACAGCTTATACTAAGCCACCTCCGAACTACTTATGGTTTTCTATGAGGAGCTTTATTTTATGTTCGAATTACACTCGGAAGGGGGGGGGGGGGCGACATTCCTGACGAGGGGCGACCGCAATTAGAAAATTTAGCTTAGAAAAATTAAAATATTAAGATAAAATTCCAAGTTAAGTACCAGTATTTTGAAAACGAAACCATACCAGTTTGCTTTTTGTATAGCAGTTCATCGACAACGGAAAAATTAGTAATTTCCACCAACATTTGCTTTTGTTATATCGGTTCTCTCTTCTCCTTTATTAAAATGATTGGAGATGATCACTGTAGCGCGTTATGGTTCTGGTTTCAGTTTCACTCGAGTTAAATTAATTTTTTTTTATTTTTGGTGAAACAGAAATTTTCACCACTCCACCATTCGTATGCTGTTTTTTGTTTTTAGTACGCCTCGGTTAAGTATACAGTTCTAATAAGTTGTGCTGAAATGGGCAGAGTTCGTTGCTCTCTACATCATAACGATAGCCTAGTGGTTGGAGGTCATCCCAGTGATGATACGGTTGATTCTCTCTAGCAATCTAATTTTTATTCATTATTTTTTTTTTTATTGCAGTAAAAATTCAACATGCATAAATGAACTGGTATACAACCAGTATCAAGCTGATGCACAATCTCTGTCCTAATACCAGATGCTCACATTAGAAATAAATGTAAAATGTACTAATTACTGCAAGACCCTTCTACCCACAGTA